TGGATGTTTCTAATAAAGTGACTGATCGTAGGTGTTTCTCATAAGAGGCCAGTTGTAAGTGTTTCTGATTAAGCGGCCAGTTTCTAATAGAGTGGATTAGCCCCACTCCTGTCCACTCTCTGTACCTCTTTCATGTCTCCGAAGTACAGGTTCCCTTCTGTGAAGTCTTTCCCCAGTGAGACATTCAGTGTGACCTCAGCGTTGTCATAGTGATAGCTGAGGTCCAGGTCTTCGTGCATGGCGTACTTCACCACGAAGGCCTTATGGCTGTCCAGCCACTGACCTCCACAATCCGGGTAGAGCAGCGCGCTCAGCGGCCGCAGGTAGCGCTCCCTCAGTGGGGTGATCAGACCCTCATCAAAGCCTAGCTCATCTAGCAGGATCTGAACAGGCAGAGCAGGTGTGATGGTCAGTCTAGAGTCCAACCGTCTAATGATTATTTCATTATGAGAAATACAAAAGATCAAACGATAGGCATGAATTTCTACCCCGTAGTTGTTCATAGTGTTTGGTCTGCCCTTCGGAGCCTTGGACTGCTCGAAGTGCTCCAGTTCTTCTATGAAATCCCGGCAGAAATCCTTCGTAAATATTGGGAAACGGTACACTCTGGGAGCTGTAAACAACAAACAAATATATAGACAAACAAACCCATGAAGTCTTTGATTGTGTACAATATTGGTCCAAAAGGATCCAGACAGTCCTTCTAATAAGTGAATTCAGGTACCCATTGCTGACAGCTTGTATAATCTTCAAAGAAAAGCATTGCAAATGAGCCTAAGATGACTGTGCCCAATGCCAAGCGTGGGCTAGAGGGCTACAAGCCCCCCCAGCATTGGGCTGCGGACAGTGGAGCCATTCTCTGGAGTGATGGAGCTCCATCCAGTACCTTTGGGATGAGTTGGAGTTCCACAACTAATCATCCAGTCATCATGTTTTTGTGACTGAATGCAATCAAATCCTCACAGCAATGCTACAACATTTGGTATAGTGGTTCATAACCCAGAGGACATGAACCCCTTGGGGGCCCCGACGTGTTCCCAAGCGTTTCTCCCTCGCAAGTTTTTCATTGCAGGTTTGTTACAAGGAATCTTGCTGGAGTATTTGATACATTTGTTGGAAAAAGTGGTGCTTAGAGACAGTTGCTAAGCAGTGATTGGTGGAATGTCATGTCAGTCTTTATTTTGAAATATGGTCAATTACGGTCCTCACGAGGATTTTAGTTTATTCTTAATTCACTCGATTCTTAATTCACCTTGCAGGCCAGATAAGAACTATAATTGTGCAGGTCCTGGAGTTGGCACACCTGACCTGTAATGGCCAGTAAACGTACATACAATACTGAAAAAGGGTAAGGACACTCCTACCTGCCTCTGAGTGAATGAGGTCCATGAGCCCCTCCTGACTGGCACCTTCAGTCTGACAGTATTTGACTATGTTTAAGAACTCCAGGGTCAGGTAAGATTCCTGCAGAGAAGGTAACAGCAGCCTTTACACAAAGCTTATCAGTATCAGTGACCACTCTCCCGAATATATTAAGGTGATGAAGATCATTCCTATAGCCCAACATTCACTTTAAAAACTGGACTTATTCCTCCTGAGTCAAGCTCTGTTTCTATTAGAACTCTAATAATCTATGTGATGGTATCGGTCAACCTGTACAAAATGAAATAGTGAAATTTCCACACCTCCACAAGACTGTACAGCAAAACATTCTAAACCTTCTACTTCATTCACTTCATTTACAGCTAAAAATCTAGAGTTATTACAGTCGTTCAGTATTCTATTTAAATGGGAATTCCACCAGTCAGTGGTGGTGAATGGCCAGACGTCTGAAACCTCTAAAAGCTCCACATGAAATGGTTATGAATTCACTGCCTGATGCCTGAGACACTGTTTTACAATAGTCTTAAAATAAAGGTCTGAAAAAAGTAGGTATATATATATATATATATATATTATATATATATATATATATATATTCATGGTGGAAAGGTACATGCAGGATGTTGGGAGGCAAAATAGCCCCAAAAGAAAACAAGAAAACATACTATGTATTATTATTATTCTACTATTTTATCATCATCAACATTACACATAAAAACTCAGAACACATGTATATGTTCACTGGTGGTTTTGGATAGTAAATAAAATGGTGACCCCTGGTTCCTATCAGCACCACTGTAAAGAAATCTGAGTCTCTACAATCAACCATTTCACACCAAACCACTCTGAATGACTCTGTTTACAGTTTAACCACTGAATTATACAGAAATTGTTAGAAAAATGGTGGGATTTCCGTTTGATAAGCTAACATTTCCTTTCTTTACTGACAGGGTCAGTAAAAGTGTTACCTAAACGATGTGACTCAGGAGACAAAATAAGAGTGGGGGGCTTCCCCTCATGTTACAGCATGAAATCTGACTTTGTACAAGGTCAACATTTATTTCAGGAAATATTGTTCAGCATGTACGATTTCAGTTCTCACTAATAGGAATTTGTGGCTTTTCTCAAGGAAGGAAAAATGACCAGTATGAATTTTATTCAACATATGCTAATTCGTTTTTGATGTTACTGTCACATGTTCAAATATCAAAACTTTTTATTTTCCTGTTTAAGAATTTGCAATTCAGTTTTCAGCAGCATCACATCAATTCTAACATGTATTAGTGTCTAATTTATTTTCCCTGGTTCAAATCGAAGCTAAAAACTGGCCCTAAGGTGCTGTGAGTGGTTTTACCTGTAAGTAGTAAACATGTTCATGAAGAGGTTTGTACGTTTCTTTAATGACCGCTTTCCTTTCAGCTGACCGAACCTCGAGATTCTGACGCCTCTCGACTTCTGCCTGGATCTGTGGGCACAAACGAGGGCCTAACGTCAACTGTCTGGCTTTGGTGGTCTGAGAAATAAGTCTTTCTTCTCCTGAATGGACTCACTTTTTGGAGAACGCTGTCGAACTGGGCGTCAGTGGCACAACCCAAAGACCTGAGGATCTATAATGTGAAGATAATAAACAGAGTTGAGTTAAATCTTCTAAGTTATCTAGAGCTGGAGAACCCGATCATGGAAGCCCGAACTCCAGCACAGCTTGGTGGTTCTCCTGCTGACTCACCTACAAACCTGGGAACTGTTTCCTGAATGCATCTTAGCACAAAGACGAATGAGCGAGCATCACAGTGAACGCTCTCTCTACCAGTTAGGATGAGCTTAACACCAAGAAGCTTTTGGGAAACTGGTCACTGATGAGTTGGTATGTGTGAACTGGGCAACGACCAAACTGTGCTGAACTTCAGGCGTCCGAGAGAGGAGAACATCTGGAGATGTTTGGAAATGTATTCATGTCTCATTTCCCTGCTGAAAAAGATCACAGAAACCAAGTTTATTGGTTCCTGGTGGTGTCTTTTTTTCAGCCGGGTCATTATAAGTGAGGTTTCTTGTTCAAGGTGGATAAAATAATACAAACTCAGTAAACCAGGATTTTAGATTCATGACCTTTACAAACAGCAAGAAACGGCCCCTAAAGTGACATGGTGATCTTTTTAATAAGGTGTGGCCACAAATTAATATATTGAGACCACAAATTAATAAAGAGGCCACGAATACTTATACAGAGGCTGCAAATTAATATATTGATCCCAGAAATTACTATATTGAGGCCACCAATTAATATATTGAGTTGACAATTTATTATATTGAGCCCACAAATTACTATACCGAGGCCACAAATTAATATATTGAGACCCCAACTTAATATTCTGAGGCCACGAATTATCATATTGAGGCCAAAAATTAATTTATTGAGGCCACAAATTAATATACCGAGGCCACAATTTACTTTATTGAGGCCCCAACTTAATATGTTGAGGCCAAAAATTACTATATTGAGGCCACAAATTAATATATTAAGGCCACAAGTTAATTTATTGAGGCCACAAATTAATTTATTAAGGCCCCAACTTCATATTCTGAGGCCAAAAATGAATATAGTGAGGCCACAATTTACTATATTGTGGCCACAAATTCATTTAATGAGGCCACAGATTCATCTTTTGAAGGTAGGAGTTCTGAGAAACTGAACCTGTGACGTAATCCCCGTGTCACCTCAGTGTTTCTATAGGAAAGGTCTGGAAAATGTCATGAAGACATGAACTGAAGCTCCTCGCGAGGAGGAGCTGCAGCTCCGTAACCCGCTCCACAGAAACAATGCGCTTACGCTCCGATAGTCCCTCCTGAACTGCTCCTCGGAGAGGAAGCGCACGTGCAGCCTGGGCTCCTCCAGGAAGATGTTATCGGTGCAGAAGCAGCTGCAGCTGTAGAACCTCTGCATGGTGTCCGGTAGAACGTCCTGCTGGCGCGTGAACACGGAGTAACGCGCAGTATCACGGCTGTTTAGACATAATTATCGCCAGGAAAGGTCAATCATTAGAACTTAAAACGTATTTCTGCCGCAGAGTCGGGACTCCAGACAACTCCAGCCATACTGAGAGCGCTCAGCAGCGGCTGTGTCCCAATCTGCGCTGTTGTGCCCTCGTGGACTCACTCGGAGTCAACAGGCACTGCTCACGTTCAGTTTCAGCGTTGCATCCCAAATTGAAGACTGCGTACTACACTCTTCTTCTCAACGGTAACAGGCACTATATTCTGGGTTACTCTGTACAGCATTCAAGTGAGTGTGGAGCGTGTTGGAATAAAGTGTAGGAGGCAAGTCAGAACCACAAACAGCACCTTGTTTTCCAGGGGTGGAAAATATTTGAGTGATTTTTACAAAAAATAGAAATAAACACATTTAAATCAGAGTAAAACTGAACAGTTATGCGTTTTATCTATTAAACATTTACTTTCACAAACTTATATTTAAAAAAGTGCACTATTTTTTGCACACCATGGGAATTTGGTAGGTGCTCCCTACTAAGGGGACTTCGTGCTCCTCTTGGGTCGGATTGAGACGGACCCCTGCCGCTTTGTTTTGTTCCGACGAGTTTTGTGTCCGGGAGGAAACACGAACGCTCGGGCAGCAGCACTCGGTTCTCTCGGTAACGTTACGGTTCTCACAAACCCACCGTGCGCGGCCGTCCTCGATGACACATGCAGCCTTTTTAAACCGAACTCGTCCATTTTAATATTTTATGAGCCCCAAAATGTAAATAAACCGTCTGTTTTCGCCTGGGTGTTCGTGTATTTCCCGGTCCGTCCGCTGATGCGTTCCGCGTGTTAGAGCGCTCAGGGCGGCGGCGGTTGTAAAGGGTCTGATGGAGTAACGGTTTATTTTCTCCGTCTGTCCGGTCGGTTACGGTCAGACCTCCGCCCTCAGCGCGAAATGCTGAGTGTGGACGCCCTGCAGGTGGCCGAGGAGGAGGTGGTGGTGGAGGAGCCGAGCTCCAGCCGGCTCGGTGATATCTACATGCTGGTGGCGGAGGGCTGCTACCCGCAGGCCATGAACCCCATCCGGAAAAAGAACCTCAAACGATACGCGCAGAAGTTCATCATCGACGGTGAGAGTTCAGGACAATCAGCCACAACATAAAAACCAGCCCATTATATCTACACCCACTGTCCACTTTATCAGCTCCACTGACCACACAGGAGCTCTTTGTAGTTCTACAGGTACAGACTGTAGTCCATCTGTTTCTCTGTGTACTTTGGTACCCTGTTCTTCAGTGGTCAGGACCCCCACAGGACCCCCACAGAGCAGGTATTATTAGTGTGGTGGGTCATTTTCAGCAGTGCAGTAACACTGACGTGGTGGTGGTGTGTTAGTGTGTGTTGCGCTGGTCTGAGTGGATCAGACACAGCAGTGCTGCTGGAGTTTTTAAACACTCACTGTCCACTCACTGTCCACTCTATTAGACACTCCTACCCTGTCAGTCCACCTTGTAGATGTAAAGTCAGAGACGATAGCTCATCTGCTGCTGCACAGTTTGTGTTGGTCATCCTCTAGACCTTCATCAGTGGTCACAGAACGCTGCCCACAGGACTCCATTGGCTGGATGTTATCGGTTTTCAGTCCAGCAGCGACACTGAGGTGTTTAAACACTCCAGCAGCACTGCTGTGTCTGATCCACTCGCACCAGCACGTCAGTGTCACTGCAGTGCTGAGAAGCACCCCAATAATACCTGCTCTCTGGTGGTCCTGTGGGGCCCCAGTGGTTGTATGATACGTTTGTGTAATGATGAGAGGAACTTTTAGTAGAACTACAGACGCTTTAGGGTGGATACTGGTTTTGTTTGTTTGATTAGCTGGAAAATGCAGAAGGAATCCAGAAAGCTAACATTATTGCTCAGAAGCTGTCTGCATCAGTGAGGAGGTTTCCAGTGGTTGTATGACATTTGCGTAATGCATGCTGGGTATTGTAGTTTGAGACATTGATGGGTGAAATGCAAAAAATACAGAAAGGATACAGAACTGTGAATTCTACCTAACTGATGAAGATTAGGGATGCCATACGGGGCTGTAGAATATTACATGATGTTACAAATAACATTACATGTTACTTTAATTTTAACCCTGGTCAAAAAGGCTACTTGCCAATACCGGTTCTTTATCAGCAGCAATTTTCCTGATACCAACAAATAACTCCCTGCTTGTTTGCGTGCCTTTAGATGGCCGGCTGTACTACGTGGGTCCAAAGAAAGAAGAGAAGCGTGAAGTGGTGATCGAAGCAGAGCGAAAGAGGCAGATATTCCTGGAGTGTCATTTCAACGAGATCGGCCATCACCTGGGACAGAAGAAGACGGTCCACAGGATCCAGAGCAAGTACTACTGGCTCGGCATTGTGAAGGATGTGGTGGACTGGGTTGGTACCCTAATTAGATTGATGTGTTTGCCACTGAGGGTTAGTGTAGTGATTTGTACAGAAGGGAGGGCGGTTTGGTAAAAATGTAACATATATTTGATGTGAAGTGGTTAATTGTAGAGGATCTTGCGGACTCTGATTTCTTTATAGTGGTGGTGATAGGAACCAGGGGTCGCCACATCTACAACACAAATGTTTTTTTTTAATAAATTATTTTATAATTTATAAATTATTTACTATCCAAAACCACCAGTGAACCTACACGTCTTCTGAGTTTTATATGTAATGATGATGGTGGTAAAATAGTGATAAATCTGAAATAATATTCTTATAAATAAGTTATATTTGGGGACTATTTTTACCTCACAGTGCAGTGTACCTCTCCATCATGAACGGATTTAGTGTATTCATAATCATTTCGCCTTTTAGAGCTGGATGTCTGGTTCCCATCACCACCACTGTGAACAATATTTACTTGGTAAGTGTCTCTAGATTAGAGCATTTTGCACCAAACCACCCTGAATGACTTTACATTTTAACGATTGAATTGTTGTTTTGAAAAAATGGTGGAATTTCTATTTAATAGGGTCCCAGTGACATATGATAACATATGATAATCTTGTTCACTTTGCTTTGTTCTGGTTTTAGATCAAGCTGTGTGAGACGTGTCAACATGCAGAGCGTAATAAAAACATGGCGCGGACCGTGCGGCCCATTAAGGTGGACGGTCCCTGGGAGATCGTGGCAGTTGAAATAGTAGGTGAGCATGTGGACTTTAGCTTAGCTAGTGTAATAAGCTAGCAGGCTGGAAATTCACCAGGGTGATTTCACAAAGCAGGATTTCTCAGTTTTGCCTGAACAACTTAAGGACAAAGTCCAACCTGTCCAATAGGAAATGTGCTGGGAGTCATTCCTATTAGACAATCCTCAACATGGGGCTATAGTGATCTTGGTAACTGCTTTGTGAAATAACCCCAGGACTGGAACGGAATACTTTTGCCTTTGTTTGAAAACAGGTCCTTTTCCAAGCACAAGTCATGGCGGGAATACGCACGTCGTCATTATAGCGGACTATTTCAGTAAGTGGGTGGAGGCTTTTCCCGTCCAAAAGAAAGATTCCCTCTGTGTTGCAAGATGCATTTCATCATCCATTTACAGGTAATAAAAATACTTCGCCTCTTTTTTCTCATAATCCATTTCATGCTATCAGTAAATCATGTTTATCCAGACGTTTATGTTTTCCAGGTACGGTTCAGCAAAGACTGTATTTTGCTCTCAAAGTGCCGACTTCTGTGAAGAGGTAAAGCGCTTTCCTAGTGACTAAATCTTTTGAATCTTTGTTTGTTTAAGCAGTAGTTTGGCTAAAAAAGGAACAAATTCACAGTTTTACCCCAAATATAGTTGAGCCAAGACATGTTTGATGTGTGAAGTTCACTTCTTTAATTCCACAATGGAGCTTCAAGGCTAATTTAGCGAAGCTATTGAGCAACTATTAGCATTGTGCTAACTGCACGTCTCAGTCATCACACTCTTACCTCAAACCGTATTGGGTTTTTTAAAATAATCCCTAATACGCTTGCTTATGTGGTTTATGACACTGTACAGTTGTCTGCAAAAGTTTTGGCACCCCTGGTTTAATAATTGTGTGGCGGAAACCATTTTGTTGGCTTCACAGGAAGTGAGCCAGGGTTAATAATTAAATACTTGGCATATCGTTTCCAGGATCACTACCTTCACTGTTAGAGCGCTGGTTTTTCTGATTGCTGTCGAAGATTGAAGTTTTCTTGGTGGCCAGGATGGAAAAAAGGGAGGTGAAGCTGTGGCTGAACTAAAATGTTGTTTATTAAAGTAAAGGTGAACAAGGCACAGAGTGGAGAAAGCAGAGGTTCAGTCGCGCACATGCAGCCTGTATAATCTCCATAGAAAGCACTGACCAGTAGAACGGGATGCTCTGAAGTAGCCGCACATGAGCTAAGATCACCAGGCCCAATGCCAAGCGTAGGCTAGAGGGGTGTAAAGCCAGCATTGGTCTGTGGAACCTTGGAACTCTCTGGAGTAATGAAGGTCCATCCAATATGTTTATGAGTTTGTGATCCAGAATTAGTCATTGAGCATCAGTACCTGACCTCATTAATGCTCTAGGGTATGAATGCAGTCAAGTCCTCACAGCAATGTTCCAACATCTAATGTGAAGAGTAATTGTAAGAGAGCTAATTGCTGCTCACAAGCTTCCATTACTTCTTAGCAACATTAGCCTCGCTACACTATAGAAGCCACTTTCAAACACTAGACATGTCTTGGCTGAATGGCTGCATTTGAGTAATGGGAACTTTTCCTTTAATGTAATTCTTCTGTGTTTTAGGTGACCAAGCACCTGAGTGAGAGATGGAATATAGGACTGAAAGTGACCGCAGCAGACCAGCCGCAGTGCAACGCCCTGTATGACCGCAGTAACAGTCTGCTGAAAGACTCCATAAAGCAGGTGGTGGCGGAAAAGCAGGCGGAATGGGATGATTTTCTCGATCCGGTTTTATCCCTGTTTCCGGACGTCTGTTAATCCCACAACTAAGTTTACACCATTCTGCCTGATGTTCAACAGAAAAGCCAGCATGCCTGGTGAGGTAGGTCACTATGAAGATTGTTATATCTATATGAGTGAATAAAATGAGCTTTTTCTGAATGCATTTATTACTGAATAAGTTCATTAAGAGTTCAAATGAACATTAAAGTCATGTGATTTTTAAACAGAATGAACACATTTTCCAATTTTCATGACTGACGTCCAGTGAGATCTGAGAGAACAGTGGCTGAATATTTCAACCAATGCGTGTATACGTCATATATGTCATATCATATATACAGTCAATGAATATATAGATCATATATATTGTGAAGGTGAATCACTTTAAAAGCCATTTAAAAGCTGTATTTGTACCTAAACAATCCTAAAGAATTTAGTGAACTGTAAATAATCAAATCACTGTGAGGTCAAACCACTGTGGAATGTATATTTGGGTTGCTGGCATAGTGTTCAAATAAGCTGTTTTGTTGAAATTTATATATGTTTTTATGTGTTTATGTATTTCATACTTATACATTTTTTGTAGTGTGATATTAGAATATTATCATTCCAGTCTAAACTGAGCTGCTCTTGAATCTAGTGACTAATAATTGAATTATTATTTGAGATTGACTGACCGTTAAGCCTACAAATTATGCCCCACAATTAGAGTTTTTCTTGTAGTGAGATGAAGAATGACTTCTGTGCATTATTCACCTGTTATGATGTGTCTTTCTGTTCTATCATATGTAGCTGGATCTGCTGAACTATGAGCAGGAACCAGGCAGTTTTTCCCTCAATGACGAGACTGAGGGCACCTTCCTCTCTGCCATGCAGGAGCACCAAGACAAACTCAGACAAACAGTAAGTTAGACAATGTATGGAAGCCCATTTCCGCTACTGGAGAAAAATATATAGCCATTATATATAGCCATTTCTTAAATCGTAGTAATGAGAAAGTTTTCCATAATTATGACTTAGTGTCTCATAATTATGACTGACACAATGAATGAAGCAATGCATAATAATAATAATAATAATAATAAGTATTATTATTATTATTTTATTATTATTATTATTATTATTATTAGAATCGAAATGAGATCTCAAATACAATAAATTAATTCTAATAACTATCAAAACTCAAATCAGTTCCCATTCCCTGAATGCACTCAGTCCTTACCGCCCATCTACAGCATAATGTCTCTGTCCCTGTCCTAGAGTTGCTGGGTATCAGAAGGCTGAAGGTGCGTTGTTGCGATGAAGTGATGATGCAGAGGTGATAACATGGCTCAGTGATGGTAGTAGGGCAGTCCAGCTCAAATGCAGCTCAAGAATAATAATCAAAAACAGCCTGCACAGAAATGTTCACTCAAATGTCCAGTTCAGTCACTCATTCAGCATTTATATAATCCTAAAAAGACCCATCGAAGGAGGAGATTTTCAACCTGAACCTCTGTTGTATGTTATATTGTCTCTACAGCTACAGCAGCAAAGCGGCTCAATATATAACTAGTTTTTACAGCTCTAAAATAAATAAATACATACATGCACATGGTCATAGTACGCTTCACCTAAAAATACCCCGAGTGATTTTTTATTTTAGACATTGTCGCTAAAAATGTCTGTATCAACATCTATATCAAGTTATGATAGTAAACTTAATGCCAAACTCAAACTTAATGCCGCAGCTTTTTTATTAAGGTTACAAAATGGCTGATACACTATATAATTCACTATTTCTGTAACAGGAAACGATTACGAATGCAGCACATTTGTTTAAAGGGACATTAGAACAACGTTCTCATGCTATTACATGTTATGAATGACTGTGACATGGGTTACACATTCATGGTGGAGGGATACATGCAGGGCGTTGTAAGGGAAAATAGTCTATATCTACCATCAACGTGACGTATAAAACCTCAGAGGACTCGTGTAGGTTCACTGGTGGTAAATAAATTATATAAGATATATTTGTGTTGTAGTCATGGTGACCCCTGATTCCTATCACCACCACTGTAAAGAAATCTGAGTCTCTACAATCAACCATTTCACACCAAACCACTCTAAATGACTCTGTTTACATGTTAACAATTGACCTATGTCAAAAGTTATACTTACTCACTTTGGATTGATGTATCTGCCTCCTTTCAGGTGTTTTCCAACATGAACGCTGCTTATAAGGAGGAGAAGAATGCTAAACGAAGGGGCAGGAACGTGTCATCCATAACCCTCACCGTCACCGAACCTTTGTGCGCTTCAGATGAGCCTCCGTCACCAAAGAAGCTGAAAGAGGGCCTGTTCCTCACCTTCCCTGTGGAGACGGTGCTCAGCGCAGTCCAGGCCACGCCGGACGACAGGAAAAACGGGCTGGAATACACACTGCCGGGCTCGGACGTACATTGAGCGGTTTACCTGTTGAGCGGGACACCAACGGTTTCTCAATGGGAACATAGGTTACGCACCATTGCCTGATGGAAAAGAGGACAATACTGTAGACAGTGTGCACTCTTGAGGTAATTGGTGGACGATATAGAGTTAAAGCGAGTTATCCGGTTGAGGAGAGGAAAAGGACGTAGGTGCCCCCGGACCTGCGTAAATGATCTGATGAAGGGAGTTGATGGTGTAGCGTAAGTCTGACGATGAGTCCGAGTCAATCTTTGAGTCCGATAAAGGTCAACATGACTGTAAAGTGCTGGCGTTTGTCAATACAGTCATCTTAGCATATCATTTCTGGAAATTAAGCACATTTAAAGGGGCATTATGGGCTAAAACTAGCATTTGATACATCATTATACATGTTGTGTTGTGTAGTATTCAGTCTGCCTCCTTCAGCCTCATCCGTTGACAGAATTCTCAATTTTGTGCCCTTTTTTGTCTTTTCGTCCATCAGTGTTTTCTCACGATGATAGCTAGCATGCATTATGCTAATACATGTTTTTCAGTAAAGACATTCTGACTGCTAGCATAGCCACCAATGTTGAGGCTAACAGATACAGATGGGATCAGCTGAACTTCTTTCTGCGTTAGCCAGCTAGCAGGAAGGAAAACACATTTCAAGCATCCGCCCTCAAAGCGGTTGTAGTTGTACAAGTTTCTCCCACCTTCACAATACATCACCAGAAAGGTTTTTAGGCTTTAAACCAGAAAATCTCTCTCTCTGACCACTGTGGCACCACTGAAGGAGGCAAGCAGGCATGTTTACAACCGATAAAGCAACGGTTACATTTTTCATTTCAGCCAAAGTGCCCCTTTAAGACCTATTACAGTGACTGAAGCGGAAATGCCAGCCTTGGCATTTGAACACAGTCACTCTAGCGCTTGTCTGATCTTGCCAACTGTTCAGGGTTAAGAACTTAAAGCAGGTTATTATTTATGAGTAACGGTTCATTGATTCAGTTCATAATAACACTGATTTACTATACCAGAGACAAAGCTTTGTTCATTTCACTGAGCTCTGCATTAGTTCTGTTTTTCTCCTCAGCATATCTTGCCTCATACGAGTTGACTGGAAAGAGACTAAATTGTGGCTTTAAATGGGAACTACACTCATCTTTCAAATTTCTGCATGATTAAGGGGTTAAATGTCCAAAAGGTCGTTCAGGGTGGCCTGATGTAAAATGCTTTGTTTTTGGGAAACTTGCAGAGTCAGAGTTGTTCACAGTGGTGGTGATAGAAACCAGAGGATGTTCTAAGGCGAAATAGTTCCCAAAGAAAACATATTTTTTTCAGATTTTCCACTATTTTACCATCAACATCACAAATAAACACTCAGAAGACAGGGTCACTGGTGGTTTTGGAGGGTAAATAAAATGGCTGTATTTGTGTTGTAGACAGAAGGACCTCTGGTTCCCATCACCACCACTGTAAAGAAAGTCTATGTTGGTCAGTTTTTCTACAAATTAAATATATTACCTCAAAACCACTCTGAACGACCCTGTTTACATCTCAAGGACTGAATTATTCAGAAATGTTTAAAAAAATCGATAGAATTCCCCTTTAAGGCTAATAAATGCTAACACCTCACCTGCTAAACTGCTTCAGAATAACTTTGTTTTTTAGGTTTTGTGTCTTTAAATGTTTTATACCAATGTTAAATACACATTTTCACCCACGGTTAAAAGCTCCTTTGTGTATTGTTTGTTAATGGACACGGTTTTTTCACAACATCAACGGACGGTTAGCAACTGCTAATGATGAAACGCCAAGCTGTGCTGTGGAAATCAGCGCAGCCAAAGCACACAGGACGGACTGTTGCCTCAAAAACGGCCTGCCTTGCGTAAGAAAATGCATATTAGTCAAACGTCAGCTTGATAAAGCTGCTTATTCACACACTGCCCTGTCAATAATTTACAGTCTTCATGGATTCATAAACGTGACTCATTAAAACCCTGTAGGAAACGGCGGTTGCATCTCACTGTGGTAATTTCATGTAAGTATATGGGGACAATAGTGGGTGTGTATAAAGCAGGGGGCGGGGCTTAGTGTATTCCTATTGGCTGACAGTGCTGTCAATCCCTAATAGGTCCTGTCTCGGGCACAAGAAGTAATAGCAAGGAATGGAAAAAGTACAGAAAAACTATACTTTTGTGAAAGTACGGTTAATGTATCTAAATATGACGCCAGTAAAAGTGGCGATATGGACCAAAATAAATAAATAAAACATATTTATGAGCTGTTTCTTCACACTGGTATTAATGTAAAAATAAAACAATGAACTAAAATGTACAGAGAAAAATCATCCTAGCATTCGAGCTTTCTATTTTTGTACTTTGACGGTGTAACTGCAAATGTGAGGGTTAAAAAGTGTGTATTTTCTCTTGAAAATGAAGTGTATTATTCAGTTTTAATAATACTCGAGCAAAGCACAAATCTACCAAAGTCATATGTAAATAAGTACATTTCTCATGTTCAGTTGAGAAGTGCTGGTATGTCCGTTTGTAACAAGCAGACGTCTGAAAATAGGTCACCACTAAAGTGTAACATAATTGCTGAGGTATAATACACTTAAACACATTTTTATTTCTCTAATAAAGCTGGTATTAATAATTAAATAACAGATGTTTATTTTATGTCTAAACCCCACTCGCAACAATGTATATCACGAAAAAAGGAAGAATATTTATGGAAGTGGCCTTTAATAATAATAAAATAAAAATGTTTTCGAGCGCCGGAGATCTAAACCCAGAGCTCGGTAACTGCATTAAATTAAGCTCTTTATATATATATATATATATATATATATATATATATATATATATATATATATATATATATATATAAAGTAATAAATAACGAAAGACGCGCTCGGGGCGTGGTCCTGGCTGAAGTGGATGATCTGATTGGAGCGGCTGACGCGGAGGCGGAGCTTCCTCTCTGTTTATCTTCCTTCGGGAAGTGGAGCTCAGTCTGTCAGACTTCAGTGAGTGTTTATGTCGATACTGAAGACGAATATCCTAATATATCCACTCCTATATATCGACTCCTAACCGCGTTTACAAGCGACAGCTACCCGGATCCACGGCGGGTTTGTGAAATGTGCCGTTCGGCGTCTTAAATGTGTTTTCGAGAAGGAATATTTTAAGCCTTGAGCATCGTAGGGTACTAGCGAAGGCTTGTTACGGCCTGGAGTTGCCGGCATGTTGTTAGACTATAAGATTAGCATCTCAGTTGCGTGCTGCTGTGAGACTGACAACACGAGATCTTTTGGTTTTGGCACGGGTTAAGATATGAGGCCAGGCTGCCCATTCATAGTGGACATTTGATGGCAGAGGATCTTCTGTAACTCACCTGCAGCTAAATGGGACCAGACAGCGGTCAGATTGTCAGTCATATTGTACTATTGTCATTCACTGTAATCCACTCCAATAGAGAAGATGAGAGTTTGGGTAGCTGTCGGTTGCAACTTGGCCTTCATCCTTGTGGACATTGTAATCACCACTGTCCTCTACGTCCAGGGATCTACCGTTGAAGTGTTTGCAGATGATGTCCAGGATTTTGACATGCACCACTCCGTCCTGGACCTGTGGGGAACCCTCCTCGTCCGCATCTGCCTCCTCCTCGGTGGCTCCATCGGGGTGGTCTGGAACAGGAGCGAGGGACCAAAAAGAGCAGCTTGCCTGGACACGCCGGTGGTTCTCACAGGCCTCGTCATCTTGACCTATGCCCTTGCCAAGCTGCTGGTGTTCTCCGAGCAAGGTGACCTCATGTACGACCCGTGGTTCCTCGGACTGTTCTCCTGGACCGTGGTGGCCGCCATTGCCACCATGTTTCTCTGGAAGCTTCTGGCCAAGTTGTCGGACCACGGCGTCGTGGACGGAGAAGAGAGCGAAGAGAGGGAGCAGCTGGTGGACGAAAGTGGAGATGAGGTGGAAGAGGAGGAGGGAGGGACGAGAAAGGGAAGGAAAGGGGCGAAAAAACAGCCGAACTCCGGGGCCACATTGGGCCAACTGCTGTCGTACTGTAAGAAAGACTCTGGGCTGCTGACCATCGCCTTCTTCTTCCTCCTTCTGTCCGCAGTGTGTAAGTGTCAATAAGTGGTGCTATAAAGGACTAGTTTAATGAAAATATAATATAAAATCTATAATATTTTATATTGTAATTTTGTCAAACTAGTCCTTTAAAGCATATATAACATACATAATTCAATATTTAATATTTTACATATATATACATATATATATATATACACACACACACACACATAGATACACACACACACACACACACACACACACACACATATATATGCACAATTCACTTTTTACCTCAAGTGTTTCAGACATGTTTCGAGCTATGAGGCTAATGTAGCTAACAAGTAGCTAAAAGATAGAATAGACAAAATTTAGTTCTCTGCTTCTGTTAAAATAGCTTCTAATACTACTTTTAGCTATGCTAATATACTTTTGTCCATTTTTGTAGACAACAGTATGTCATACAGGGTCAGAAACAACTTCTGCATGTCTATTACAATTTACTTAACAACTCAACACAGTTTGAGGCGAGTGGTGATTGAGGAATGCAGTTAGCACAGTGCTAATTGGTGCAGTGTAAGCTTCCATTACTGGTTATTTGTCATGTAAAGAAGCAAACTTCAGCCCCCAAGTACTGACTCTATATGGGTCAGTATTAATTACAAATAATTAATGTCTTACTAATTACTGCGGCTGTCAAACAAACAAATTCAACACAATTACTTTGTGTAATAACAACAGTGAATCACTTGGCTGAAAGCCCAATAATAAATACAACACAATACAATAAATATGCAAAACAAGACCGTATAGGACTGACAGCAAGTCGTATAAGAGTGTAAATCATGCAAAGACTGCAGTCTTGAGTAGATGAACTGTGCTAATTATATGGAAAGTATAAGTAACAGCAACATAGCTTTGCTCAAGCGAAATACTTGTACAAATGGCCTTATAATGTATATACATATATATATATATATATATATATATCGTATATATATATATATATATATATACATATATATATATATATCTCAATTCAGAGAAAAAGGATATAATCTATTTAAAGGCCTTTATCATGGGCAAATGAATTTTCCTCACTTTTTTATTTTAAAACACTTTACTGTATGACAAACACTTTTCACAAGTTTCACAACATACTGTTCATATATGGAAACTAAGCTGCTAAACTAAAACACTAAGATTGACTCGTCAGACCATGATGCACGTTTCCACTGTGCATCAGTCAATTGCAGATCAGGTTGAGCCCAGCCTAAGTGTTGGTCCTGTCATCAGGTGATTGCGAGTTCGATCCTTGGTGATGCAATTGTCCTCACTCTCTGGGTGGGTAGGATGGCCTTCCTTCTCCCCCATCATCACTCAGCACCATGCTAGCCATTGGAGGCGTCTGTGAGCTGATGTAACAGAACTGATGGTTAGCGTTCTCCTCTAAGTCCCTTCAGCTGTCCAATGATGCTTGCGTTTGCCTTTGTGTTTGCCCTCCTAGTGCTGGTGGTATCATGTGATTGGGGGAGTCCTAACTAGTGGGTGGAATTGGATACGATAAGTTGGGGAGAAAATTGGAAAAACTCCCAAAAAAACACTGAAAAAAAACAAAAAATTGTGGATGCTGTGATGTAGGGTGTTTATTGACACTGTCAAAATAAGCGGTGATATTCATCACAGAAGCAAGCTGGTTTCTAATGCGGTGGCGTGTGTGGGGTGTCTGAAATGGAATGGAAGTGTCTGGGGTCGACGAATATGTCAGGGCGTCACATTAGATGTTTCTCTGTGTTTCTATTAAAATCTTTGAGATTAATGTATTTTCCATTCCATCCCATTGAGAGATCGAATGTGACTCACATCCGGGGTTATGAGCCAATGAAGACAAGTTGAGACACATGCCATCTGCCTCTCACTGTGTGTAACCGGTGGATTTGTGTGTCCGACATCTGCCTCTCACCTGTAATTGGTGAATTCGTGTGCCTGACTATATTTTATGTGAAACTTTTCAATGGACACTCAGGAAATCACTAAGACCTCAGAACTGACCCATCACATTGTAAACACTTCATTTTTTGTTCAGCCATCTTGAACGCGGACGCGAGTGGTGTGTAAAAAGTTTGCAACTGCTGAAGTTGCTGCAACAGTTTTGGAAAATAGCCATGACGATAACATTTATCTGCTGTTCTATTCATGCGTTCCGCTACTGTTGTGAACCTAAGACTTTGGTGAACCCATTTTAATCATCAAAACAATTCGTCCACTTGAGTAAAGCTATGTTTTCACAAGCGATATTAAGAACCTTTAAAAACGGATTTCATTTTTTTTAAGCTTTCAGGCCCAAATCTCTTTACATGGTGCTCCAGGTCAAAAGGTCTTACAGAGAGAGCTGAGATTGTTCTGAACATTTTGATATATAATATGTGGGGATCATGTCATATGCACGTGCCTTTAAAGGTGAATTTAAGAATATGTGTCAAAAATAAGAAAATGCCCTCAGACCCCAGAGGGTCAAGAAAAGGCAGTTGTGGGGAGCTGTCTGAGCACTTAGACAGAGCCGCTCATATGCTGTCCAGAAAGGCAAAGCAAAACCCCCATATGAGAGCAAGGTCCTGCAGAAGGTTTAGCTGACATAGGAGTGCTCTCACAGTGGAGCACAACTGTGATCAGCATGGAAAGGAAAGGAAAGAAAGGGTCATCAGAAGGAAACCTTAGCTTGCTATGACCATATCACAAAAGTCAATTTCTGTAAAACAACTTCTATATAAGCCAAATTCATTTTGTAAAGAAGTGCTGTGGACTGATGGAGTAAAAAGGAATCTCTTAAGAAAAATCACTAAAGTAGCAGCATTTGATGAAAAGAACGCCTTGCTAACTATTAGGCACTGGGGTAGATATTATGTTTTTGAGTTGTGTGACAGCCGTTGGCACAGGAAACAGCACATGCATAAGGAAAAATGGTTTCCACTAAATATCAGCAAATCCTGGAAGTAAATGTGACGGTCAGTGAAGAAACTAAAGCTAAAAAAAGGCTGCCTTCTTCAACAAGACGATGATCCAAAACATCCCTCAAAATCCACCATGAAGTACTTTAAGAAATGCAAGCTGAAGCTTTTTGGAATGGCCCTCACTCTTCCCTGACATCACTGAAAAACTATGGGTCGATGCATAAAAGAATATCACAGAACTAGAACCGTTCTGCAAAATAGAGTGGAAATTTGACTGGGAAATTCTGGTCTCCCACCAGTTTTTTTAGACTGAGAGTGGTCTACCACTCAAAATATCAACTTCAGAGCTTAGTGAATTTCCAAAAGTAGAGTTAATTTAGGCTTATGGTGAGATCTGCCTTTAATACATAAACTGAGAAAACGTTAATCTCAGTACATCAGAATCCAAAATCTTAGTTATTCAGTACTTCTGTTTTTCAGCCGTTCACTGTTACAATGTATGTGGTTGTAGTATTGCATCTCTGTTGCCACAGTCATTTCTCCTTCACATTTATGTGCACACAAAATGTATAGCTTGTCCCTGTTTCACATTCAGGACGGTAAGTTTAGCAACCACTGCATTACCTCACTTAACAGTCCTTTGCACTATGACTTCATATAGTATGATATGTTCCTTATAGTGGTAGTTCAGCAAAGAAAAAATCCATGCAGGCTAGTAATACCTAATGTAGCTAACAAGTAATGGGAGTTTATGCCACACCAGTTAGCATTACTCAAACACACAGGTAGATCAGATAGACTTGCTTATGTGGTTTCTGGCACTGTATGACATACTGTTATCTATAAAAATGAAAAAATACAAAAATCAAGATTGCTTTTTTAGCTATGCTAACACACTTTTGGCCATTTTTATGGATAACTATGTCATACAGTGTCAGAAAGTCTTTAGGAAATTTATGCCAATTTGTAAACTTTTGGTTTATCTTGTTCTTAAAGGGATACCGATGTTGGTAACTGTTACAGAGTTACTACAAAATACAGTTGAATCATATTAGAATCCACTAGCTACATTTCCTTGTTATGCACATTAAAATGTTCAAGTGAAGCATTCCTTTCAAACCAGTTGGACAACTTAATTTACCAGGTCAGCATGAGTAAAAAAAAAAAACAGCTGGGGTGGGGCAACGTCTTAAATGTCTTAAACAGGCAATACACTCATCCTGGGTATAAAAGCAACATCCAGGAAAGGCTGAATTCCTTATGAGCTAGCATTGGTCGAGGCTTGTCACTTTGCTAAAAAAATGTCCGCAAAAAATGTGGCAGTTCAAGAACAATGTTCCTTAATGCAATTTTAGATATTTCACCCTCTATGGTGCATAATATTAGCAAATGATTGAGAGAAAACAGAGAAATCTCTGTGCGTAAAAGATGAGGCCAAAAACCACAAGAGAATGGCCGTGAGCCTTGATCCCTCAGATGGCACTGCATTATAAACCAGCATGCTTCTGTGGATATCACCACATGGGCTGGGAGTACATTGACAAACCATTGTCAATAATCACTGTCTGTCGTTACATCGACAAATGCAAGCTAAGACCGTACTGTGCACAGTGGCAGCAGTATGTCAGCAACATTGAGAAACACTGCCGAGTTCTCTGGGCTAGAGTTCATCTGAAACGTACATCGGAAATGTGGACATTGTGTTCTTTGGGCCAAATAAGAAAAAGACCATCCAGATTGCGTAAAGTTCAAATGCCAGCGTCCATCATGGAATGGGTGTCCGTCAGTGCCCGTGGAAATTGCAGAACAGCATATGCTGCCTTTTAGACGCTGTCTTTTTCAGGGACATCCACGCTTATTTCAGCATGACAACAGCGAGAAATTCAACAGTATAGCTGGGTAATCAGAGAGTGTGCTTGACTGGCTTGCCTGCTTCCTGTTGAAAACATGTAGCATAGCATGAAGTGCAAAATATATCAATATTATGGCCCTGTATGATTGCGCCACTGAAGTCTTATATAACTGAAAAATGCAAATAACGTTCATATGGTAAAATATCAAACATATTGTTATTGTAATGTTTTCAATTTATTTATTAGTCAAACAGAATGTACTAATCACTGCTTTCTGTTTTAGCATTTCACAGTCTTTCCTAACCTTTTTTTGGAACTGAGCTTGTGTTTTTCTGTCTCTCTAGGTGAGTCCTTTATTCCCTATTTCACTGGAAAGGCCATAGATGGTATCGTGATCCATAAGAGTATGGATTACTTTGCTAAACCCATGATTACTCTGTCTTTGTTGGCCCTGGTCAGGTGAGTCCAACAGATTGTTCTCGTTCAAACTCATTGAGTCACATTAAGCCGATGGGTTGCATTATTCCACTAGTTAATCATTATTCATTATTCCACAGTCCAGTGTCCATTTTTAAAACAATATGAAGCTTATGATTTGCATAAATCATCACACACTTGCCTCAAACTCTGTAGACAACGTCAACGCAATTTTATTTAAGTTTGTCATACAGAATGACAGAACATGTTCAGGCCATTTTCAGCCATGTGACATAACAGTATGTGACCAAAAGTATGTAGACGGTCCATTTTAATTGGTGTGTTTGGCTATTTCAGCTATTACTATTTTATCTATTACCCACAGGTGCATAAAATCAAGTATACAGTTCTGCAATCTCCATAGACAAACACAGGCAGTAAAACGGATTGCATTGCAGAGCTCAGTGATTTTAATGTGGCACTGTCACAGGATTCCACCTTTCCAACCAGTAGATTCATCCGATTTCTGCCCTGCTAGAGCTGCCCTTGTCAACTGTAAGTGTTATTATGAAGTGGAAAGGTCTATGGTTGGTACACTCTCAGAAATAAAGGTATGAAACTGTCGCTGGGGTGGTCCCCTCAAGGGTACATCTCAGTACCTTTGATCAGAAAACATAACTGTACTGTAATCCAATTAAATTATATTTTCTAAGCCGTACTGACGCCACACACCCCGTCTCGTCTCCAGGCTTTTTATTTTACTGTTCTGTTTTAAAACATTCGGTTATGAAAAGGTACAAATACGAACTTTTCACCTGGAAAAACTTATTTAAGCTTCACAACTGGACCTTAAAACCACTGTTGTACCTTTGAGGGAACATTTACATTGTTTGTACCTTGATGAACGAAAATTAACCTGCACAGAACCTTCATTTCTAACAGTGGATAGCGAAGTGGCTGTCTCTACAACATGATAAAATTGTAAGGCATTCTGGATAAGAGTGTAAATGTAGACATCAAGGAGTGGGAAGTGCTGAAGCATGTAGCGTGTAATATGATCTGTCCTCTGTTGTAGCACTCAAGTTCTAAACTGCTTCTGCACAAGAACTGTCAGTTCAGAGCTTCATGGATCAGGTTTTCATGTCTGTACAGCAGCAGACCAGCCTAAGAACACCTTGCACCATAACAAGCGTTGCCTGAAGTGGTGTACAGGACAGGCATTGACCTCTGCAGTGGAAACGATGAATCTTGCTTTGCCATTTTTTCAGTCTGACGGACTAATCTGGGTTTGGCAGAAGCAGGAGAACCAAACCTGCCTGAGTGCCATCTCTAAAGTTTGGTGGAGGAGGAATAATGGGCTGGGGCTGTTTTTCATTGTTCGTATTGGACCTTTTAGTTCCCGTGAAGGGAAATTGTGATCAAGTCTGTTTGAGGCGAGGGTCTGATGACTTAGGCATGCAGTTTGTTCAGTGCTAATTGATGGTGTACAGCGCTATTACTTTTTAGCATACAAGCTTGGAGAATTACTGCAACTTTAGGAATACGGAGGTTATAATTAATCTAACGTTAACTCTGTTTCTCTCCTCAGTTCTCTGGCCATTGGGGTTCGAGGAGGCTTGTTCTCATTGACATTCGCCAGGCTGAACATTCGGCTACGTAACCTTCTGTTCCGATCGCTGATGCATCAGGAGATAGGCTTCTTTGATGCCAACCATACAGGTAGAGTATTGCATTGTGGAACAATAAGCTTTGTTCTTCTCTACATTGCTAAAAGATTGAATCCGGTTACCGCTACCATATTTCTTCTGTTTTTGTGGGTGTATACAGTTAGGCCCAGAAATATTTGGACAGTGACACAAGTTTTGGCATTTTAGCTGTTTAGCAAAACATATTCAAGATACAAGTTGTATTATCAACATGGGCTTGAAGTGCAGACTCTCAGCTTTACTTTGAGGGTATTCACATCCAAACTGGAGGACGGGTTTAGGAATTATAGCTCTTTAATATGTAGCTGCCTCTTTTTGAAGGGACCAAAGGTAATAGGTCAGTTATCTCAAAAGCTATTTCATGGGCTGCATGGGCTATTCCCTCGTTAATCCATCATCAATTAAGCAGGCGAAAGGTCTGGAGTTGATTCCAGATGTGGCATTTGCATTTGGAAGTTGTTGCTGTGAACCCACAACATGCGGTCAAAGGAGCTCTCAATGGAAGTGAAACAGACCAACATTAGGCTGAAAAAAAGAAGAAATCCATCAGAGAGATAGCAGAAATGTTAGCAGTGGCCAAATCAACAGTTTGGTGCATTCTGGGAAAAAAAGAGCGCACTGGTGAGCTCAGGAACTCAAAAAGGCCTGGACGTCCACAGAAGACAACAGTGGTGGATGATCGCAGAAGAACAAAGTATGGAGAAGGCTTGGAACGGCTCATAATCCAAAGCACATCACATCCTCTGTACAACATGGTGGAGGCAGCGTGATGGCATGGGCATGCATGGCTTCCAATGGTACCGGGTCACTGGTGCTTATTGTTGATGTGACAGAAGCAGCCGGATGAATTCTGAAGTGTACAGGGATATACTTTCTGCTCAGATTCAACCAAATGCAGCAAGGTTGATTGGACGTCGCTTCATAGTACAGATGGACAGTGACCCAGAACATACTGCAAAAGCATCCCAGGAGTTTTTTAAGGCAAAGAAGCGGAATATTCTGCAATGGCCGAGTCAATCAGCAGATCTCAACCCGATCGAGCATGCATTTCACTTGCTTAAGCCAAAATGAAGGCAGAAAGACCCACAAACAAGCTACAACTGAAGACAGCAGCAGTAAAGGCCTGGCAAAGCATCACAAAGGAGGAAACCCAGCGTTTGGTGATGTCTATGGGTTCCAGACTTCAGGCAGTCATTGCCTGCAAAGGATTCTCAACAAAGTATTAAAAATTATGGTAATACTTTAAAAATACTAAAAAACATTTTATTTATGGTAAAGTTTATTTGTCCAATTACTTTTGAGACCCTGAAATAAGGAGGCTTTGTAGAAAAATGGTTGCAATTCCTAAACGTTTCATAGGATATTTTTGTTCAACTCCTTGAATTAAACCTTAAAGTCTACACTTCAATTGCATCTCAGTTGTTTCATTTCAAATCCAATGTGGTGGCATGCAGAGCCCAAATCATGAAGATTGTGTCACTGTCCAAATATTTCTGGGCCTAACTGTATAATGACAGCAGCTGCTGAGATGTTTGTGAATGGAGCCTTAATCTGTGGATGCAACACAAGTCAGTATTGCGAGTTCTTGTTTTGAACACTTTCTATTAGGCAAGTGTGGCATGCACCTGTTCCCCAGGCCCTGATGCCAACCGGAGGCAGTGCCCAGGAGGTGGGGCTCTGGACTCGCGCACCGTCCCCCACTCACTCACAGTTCTTCTCTCCCCGCCGTCCTTGCGGGTCTTTGTCCTAACTTAGGGTTTGGGCCCCACCGTCCTGCCGGCTCTCACGGTCATCATCGGGGCCCGGTTTTGCTACGTGGTTGCAATGCTGTCCTGGATGGTTGCTTAGGTGTTGTTCTGGTATCCCAAGCTGGTTGCTAGGAGTTGCTGTGTGTGTTCTGTTTGGTAGGTAGGGTGTTGCTAGGTGGTAGTAGTGGTATTCCAGGTTGTTGCTAGGGCATTGCTGGATTGTTGCTATGATACCCAAGGTGTAAAAGAAGACTAAGAAGAATATGAATAGTGTTGTATAATCACTAATCACCGCTGTTTTTAGCTATGCATTGTTATTTTGTCTGTTTTTATGGAGTTTTTTTATAGATTTTATAGATTAAGACATTAGCGCTTTAGCTCCAGTGCAAAACTTTAGAAGCAAACTTCACACACCTGCCGACTACGTTTAGGGTAACCAGGGGGGGTATATTTAAATTGAACTGGAGCTTTAAAGTAAGGCTGCTGATTAAAGATCAGTTGTTGTCTTTGTATTCAAATAAATAGTGTGGTGTGAAAGGGGATCTAATCTAAAGTCAGCATGAATACTTTGAAAAGCTTGATAAACTCAGATCTTTACTTAACTTTTACAAGTCATCAGAGCAGTACGAAATATGAATGGCCTTCATGAACACGTGGTCCTCCCTGGTCTTGCACAGTCACTGTGTTTCTTACCAAACGATACCCCAAATGTAGTCGATCAGCCAAGATATGTCTGGTGTCTGAAGTTTTCTTCATCAGTTTTGCACTGGAGTTACTGGCTAATGTAGCTGACAGCTAATGGAAGCTTACACCCCACCAATTAGAATGAGTATAACAACAAACTGCCTACATTTTTATTTTTATAGATAACAGTAGGCTGTTGGAATTAATGAACCAGGACAAAATGATCAATAAATATAGATACTTTCATTATTTAAGAACATTTAGGTATTTGACAAAAGCATATTATATTGTGGACAGTTTTCATTTGAGCCAGAGGGGGGCGCCAAATCCATAATTTAAAAAATAACATGAAACCAATGCTCATGGTTGCTTCTATAGTATGTTCGCTCATTTTCATGCTCTGAGCAGGAGCTATCATCTTTGTGTGAGTGCTTAATAAAAAGCACGTCAGAGTAAAAGGTTATCGTACTACTGTAAATTCATTGCTACTGTAGATCAATAGATCGATCAATTGATGAGTGATTCCAGCTCTAGTCAGACACAGTTTGAGTGTGTGATGAGACAGGCATGCAGATAGCACTGTACTATTGGGTGGACAGTAAGTTTCCTTTACATCTTAGCTACATTAGCTTTGTAGCTATTCTAAAGTTTCTAAATAGGCATAATTCAGATAAACCTATTTCATTGAGGAACTTCATTTGGGGCGAGTGGAAACTGTGGATCTGTAAATTAGATCCGCTCTGGAATGTTTGTTTACATCGCAACCAAAGATGTTTTGAAATGCCACTTTAAATGCTCTTCTAGTGTTTGAATATCAGAGCCAAGAATGCCCGTCTAGCTGCAGTGCTTCCTCGTCGGCTTTGCAAATGATTTGAGGCTCTCTTTGCAGGTGACATCACCTCTCGGCTGACCTCGGACACCACAGAGGTCAGCGACCTGATCTCCCAGAACGTCAACCTTTTCCTGCGCAGCTTTGTCAAGGGCGTGGGCTTCTTGATCTTCATGTTCGGCATGTCTTGGAAGCTGTCTCTCGTCACCCTCATGGGCTTCCCTTACATCGCTGTGGTCTCCAAGCTCTACGGCCAGTATTACAAGGCAAGTCTGAAAGAGCAGAGGGGAGTCGGGTTTCGTTTTAGGCGGTCAGGAAACCTGCATCAGTGCAAAGGGTGGAAAAACACAGCAAGTCAACATTACTGTACACACTTTAATTTGACATTTCTCTGCAAATTTTAACATTGGAAAAAGTAAAACATCAAATATAAAGTGTGCCATTACTTTTGAGCAGGCCACATTTTATGTTTTAATTCTCTCAGATTCAGCAAATAAACAGTAATTGTGCATTAAAATGTGCAGAACTGTATTCTTTATGATGTGTATATGATACAATTTTAAAATTTAGTATGTTCTTTTGTGCAGAAATTAACTAAAGAGGTCCAGACGTCGCTGGCGCACGCAAACAAAGTGGCCGAGGAGACGATCTCGGCCATGCGGACGGTGCGGAGCTTCGCTAATGAGGAGCAGGAGGCCAACTCATATTACGAAAGACTACTGGAGGTCTTCAGACTCAACAAGAAACAGGCTCTGGCCTACGCCTGCTTCATGTGGTCCACCTGTGTGGGTATCATGCAGTTATTTAGAAAAGAAAAAATCATAATTAGTGAATTAATTTAATGAAGTAAAACATTTTCAATCAACTTGCTTGTTTGTTCAAAAATGTATGAACAAAAATATCAGGAATATATCAGGAATTCCAGCTGATGCTTGGCATCAACAGTAATTAAAAACTGTTCAAAACAGAAAAAACATCTCAGATAGATAATTCTTTTAGTATGAAGCTTTAATTAGAAAGTCCTTGTCTTATAATGAGACCAGATATAATGAACTGTAGTTAATATAGGGGGCCAAACACGGCAGTTTTTGCCAGTATACAGTATATTTCCTCAGTCACTCTGCTCACCAAAAATTCCTGCATGATACAAACATGTTTTGTTCCATAGTTCCATACAGTCACATCTCTGGTAAGGTTCAGGTTCCTAGGGTTAGAACTATCAGTGCTGAATCAGAAGGTGAGCATTAGAACCAAGGCTGGTCTCACGTAAATGTCATTTTCATTCAAATAATTTCACATGATTAACCCCATGCAAACCTCCATGTCTGCTGTTTCAGATTTCGGAGCTGGCTTTGCAGGTGGCTATGCTGTTTTACGGGGGCCACTTGGTGATAACAGATCAGATGAGTGGAGGAACCCTTATTTCCTTCATCATCTATGTGCTGGAACTGGGCGAATGTCTGGAGGTCAGTGTTTATTAGTCATCTGTGTAACATTATACTGCAAGAAATGCATATAGTTCTTGGTAGCCATGCGTTAATGGTCATCCTTGTTGGAAGTGTGTCTATAAATGTGTATACGCAGCCATATGCACATTTTATTAAGCAAGTAAACAAAAAATGGACACTAAGATGCACAGAAAACGCCATATCAAAGTTCTCTGTAGAGGATGTGTTCAGTTATTTTCACTTAGAAAATCAAGAAAATGCCAGGGGTGTGCAAAGTTTTGCAGACTGTGTATTGACAGAGTGTATCACAATGCTCATTTTTCAATCTGCCTTGCAGAGCATAGGAGCGGTGTATACAGGCCTAATGCAGGGCGTGGGGGCAGCGGAGAAAGTGTTCGAGTACATCGACAGGAAACCCAAGCATGGTCTCGATGGTCTCGAAGCTCCGGACTCATTCAGCGGCCTGGTGGAGTTCAAGAACGTGACGTTCGCCTATCCTACGCGACCTGAGACGGCTATCCTGAAGGTATTGCTTCTGATGTGGGCAGGACATTTGCAGTCAAGCTGGATTAGTTTGACAAGTTACACCATTTCCCTCCTCAGCCTAAACGTAGTCGGTCAGACATGACATACGTCTGAGGTTTGCTTCTTTGTGGTACATTTACATTGAGGGCGTTCCCAGCAAAGTCCAATTGGAATTTAGCCTTGCTAGGTCAATGTTTATGTAATTAATTTTTTGAATGATCTGAAAGTCAGCATAGTCTGTGATATCACTCCAGCATTTTGAAAAACATTGATTCAGTTGGACAGATTTGGCTTTGGAAGAAAGAGGTCAATGATTATCAATTGCTGTCAACATCACTGATTTCTGTCTATTAGCATCCAACTCATCTTCTTCCCTCTCATGTTTTCAATTGGAGGGAAAACAGCTGTGTTTAAATATACAGTGTAATTAACTTTTGTCAAATTTGATCATGTTCTCCAAATGTAACACACCCATCCATGATGCACCCGATGCCACAGCCATCTGCGTCTGGATGTCCAAGAGAGCATAATTGTCCTCCCTCTCTCTGGGTGGGTGGGATGCCTCCCCCCCACCACCATCTATTAGCGCAATGCTAGCCAGCACACGTGTCTGTTAGCTGATGTAACAGAATTAGCAGTTAGTGCTCTCCTCCAAGCGTGTTGAGCTGTCCAGTGATGTTGCATTAGCGGCAGATTGAAAATATATGGTCGCGTGTCTTAATAAATAAATAAATAAATGGGATCTGTTGCAGTGCATTACCGTGACAGACCATTGTAGATGCAGTATTAGTTCTGGAGCGTCAAGGCTAAGGTAGCTAACAAGGAATACAAGCTTATAGAAAAGGTGTCCAGCTGTTCATGTCAAATATTCAGTGGCTTACAGACACTGTATGACATACTGTTGACTGTAAACATGGACAAAAATTCAGGCTGCAGGCTACTGTAAATGAAACTAAACCCACACGTTTCATTGTTTGCAGGATGTGTCCTTCAGCATTCGTCCAGGGGAGGTCACTGCACTGGTCGGTCCATCGGGCAGCGGGAAGAGCTCCTGTGTGTGTCTTCTGGAGAACTTCTACTCTCCTCAACACGGCCAGGTGCTGCTGGACGGCCGGCCGGTTCAAACCTACCAGCACGGCTACCTTCACTCCAGGGTACGATCCATGCTGGAGTGTCATTAAGCCGACTTTAGTTTTTACTTTCATTTCTAGCATGTATGAGTTACAGTTATTGTAGCAAAACATCTCAGTGATGATAAATGTAAAGAGTAATTAATTACTATTGAGGCATTCGTTCAGGTAATAAATAGGCATAATACAGTAAAAAAAAGTGTTGTATGAATAAAAAAAAATTTAATTGGAAAAAAGATTTGTCATATTTCCTTTCAGTGGTAATGTTTTCAGATAACCTGTTATTGTTTTGCATTATCAGGTTTAAATTACATTTTAAAGGTGCAGTTAAGATGATTTACACTGTAAAAAGATCAGTTGTTGTTATTATTATTATTATTATTATTACAATTATTAGTAAATATTTTATAAAATGTGTTTATTAGAGAGGCACCAATACAGGAATTGTGGGCTGAGATAAAATTTTATGTGCATATCTGCCAAAGCGTAAACATATACAAAATGTATAAATTGGGACTACCTGCATCAGCCTGGGTTACTCATTGTAATGCTGTATAATACATGAAATGTGTTAATGAAGTGTTATATTTATTTTAACATTATTATTATTATTATTAATATTATTATTATTATGTATATTTGCATTATATGTATAAAAGGAAAAATTCAGTTATCGGCCAGCTCTAGTGTTTGGACTAGGAATATTCTAGCAAGTGCGCTTTGTCATTAATTCATCATTGAATTCATTAGCTAGTACTACAGAACAGTTCTCTCTCACATTTGAGTTCTGCTAACTCTCATGTTTGAGCTCCTGAAATGCCTTTCCTGCAATTTTCTGTGTAATATATATTTTAGTCTGTAAATGTTTTGTATTATTTAGTAGCCAATATGAATTTTAAAGTAACTTTATGAATTATTCATTAACTAGTTTGCGTTAATCATTAACTGCTACGAATTATTCAGTAACTTCTGCATATTATTATTACCAACTGTGAATTATGTAGTAACTGCTACAAATATTCAGTGACTATCATGAATTATTTAGTGAGTACCATGAAATATTCAGTAACTTCTATGAATTAAGTAGTAACTGCTATGAATAATTCAGTAGCAGCTTTGAATTATTCAGCAGCTACTCTAAATTATTCAGTAACTACTGGGACGTATTTGGTATCTACTATAAATAATTCTCTGTTATTGAAGGGGTTAAACTCTGAGGTCGTGGCTGCAATGATGGTCCTAAGTGTCGTCCCTTGGTGCTGTTGCAGGTTGCTATGGTGGGTCAGGAGCCTGTCCTGTTTGCTCGTTCGGTGCTGAAGAACATCGCCTACGGCCTCAGCGACACTCCGATGGATACGGTCATTGCAGCTGCTACCAAAGCCAACGCTCATAACTTCATCTGCAGTCTTCCCAAAGGCTACAACACAGGTCAGTTCCACCTAGAGGGGAGGTTTAAAATGTAAAACGTTTAGTGAAACGGGCAGAATTACCCCGTAGTGTGAATAAGACTCAGGTCTTAGTTGTCTCATAAATCTCGCCAACACCACATGCACACGTTCCCGGAGATATTTTGACATGGCGGCTCTCGCTGCATGAACCTTCTTTGGTGTCTAGAACTTCCAGAAGTTGCCTACAATGACGTTTTTTTTTTTAACAAAATAAGTGGAAATCACAAAGTGATTGGTTGATTCCTCTGTCATTTCGTTTTTATGCTGATGGTTAATCTAATGTGTTAGGACTTCTATACAGCACTTGAGGTCCTAACCAATAGGAGAGCTCAGTTAGCTGTATCAGCCTAGATAATATGGAGAAAAAACAGTCCCTGATTGGCCAGTTTTTGCTGATCTTGTGAAGAATTTAACACCTTTGTTCCCAACCTGAATTTAACAATGGAACAAAAGGAGTACTGTAAAACTCATTTACATACAAGCCTAACCTCAGCGGCTCACGAGCCAATGACTGTGCTCGTAGGCGGAGTTTGACATCGAGCAGTGACTGCACTGCTCCCCCTGATCACCAAACTTTATAGTGTTAAAATTATAATGACTGGAGAGAATAACATGAAATAAACAAAACGTCTTCATTAAGACGGTAGAATGATGTGATTGTAAAGTGTGAATCAATTTGCCACACAAATATGAGTCAAGGTGTAATTTTGTGAGGTGCCTTATCAGTTTTGTCTCTGTATGGTGGTAAAGGTGTCGGGGAGAAGGGGACCCAACTGTCCGGAGGGCAGAAGCAGAGAGTGGCCATCGCTCGCGCCCTCATCAGGAACCCCTGCGTGCTCGTGCTGGACGAGGCCACCAGCGCGCTGGACGCCGAGAGCGAGCATGTGGTGGGTGGAGAATGCTCACAAAATTTACTGTGCTGAACAATAACTCAAATGCCTACAACATTAATTTTAGCATTAGATGAAAGTTTCCAGTCAAACAGCCTTTAGGAACAAGTTATTCATTTTTCTGGAGAGATTCCTGAAGAGATAAGATCGAAGATAATCCACTTGCATCAGGAAGGAGAAAGTCAAAGGAAAATAAGTGACGATTCGAAAACTAGAGTTTAAAAAATGATTGAAAGATACAGAGAAAATGGAACTACTAGCAACCACCTGGAAGACCTGGTACACCACCAAAACTGTCCCCATCAGATAAACAGCATTTAAAGCTATCATCTTTGAGAGGGAGGAAAAAGATCTCCTTCGGATCTGAAAACATCCACAGCCTTTCCAGTATGAGAAAATTGACCAATGCAGTGGTCAGACCTCATATTCCTGTACTTTTCTCCATCTTTATAAAAAGCAACATATCATACAAGTCTGAGGGTTTAGGCCTGCGGTTTGCATGATGCCAATTGTTGCTCATAAGCTTCCATTACTTGTTATCTACGTTAGCCTCGTAGCTGCATTGGAAACAGTTCATGTCTTGGCTGACTGACCACAAATGCTAACTTCGTTCCGCTGCTCTCTTCCAGGTTCAGGAGGCCCTGAACGGCGTCATGGAGAACCGCACGGTGCTGGTGATTGCCCACAGGCTGAGCACGGTGGAGCGAGCCCACAGCATCATCGTGCTGGACGGAGGGTCGGTGGTGGAGCAGGGCCGGCATGCTGAGCTGATGGCCCGCGGGGGGCTCTACTGCAGGCTGGTCCAGCGGCAGGTGCTGGGGGTTGAACCTGTGCCCAGAGAACCATCCTTGAGCAGGAAGGCGGGACAGGAGGAGAGCGAAGGAGAGAGCAGCGAGGACGACCATGGACCAAAATACTGAGGAACGTCTGAAACTGTCCCGTCCTTAGAAAGAGCACGATTACAGCAGCAGTCAAAAGTTTGGGCACACCTGATTGCATGGATGTTTTTCATAATCTTAATGACATTCTGAGAGCCAAAAACAGTTGTGTGCAAAAGTTTGAGCGTTGGTCATTGGTCAAATGACTTGTTTTGTTGAGGGGGGTGAGGGAGGGGGGTGAGGGAGGGGGTTGAGTGTTAACACAAGCACTTAGGGGCAGATACATCATGGCGGCCTGTTTGTTATTGCTTAATTTCACTAGCTGGCGAATGCAGGAGGAGGTCTGATTGCTAACTTTACGTCTGCGTTTATTAGCCTCTACGTCAGTGGCTTTGCTAGCAGTCAGGACGTCTTCACTGCTGTGGGGGGATTCCCAGTGGTTGTATTAGGTAGTTATGTAATGCATGCTGGGGACTGTAGTGAGAGGCAAGCAAAACTGTGAATTCTTTCAAATCGTGAATAACATATTACACCACAAATAGCATATTAAACACTAGTTTTAGGGCTCCCGAGTGGCGCAACCGTCTAAGCGTTGGCCCTGTCATCAGGAGATCGCGAGTTTGATCCCTGGTGATGCTACAGCCATCCGTAGCCGGGAGTCCGAGAGAGCACAATTGGCCTCGCTCTCTCTGGGTGGGTAGGATGGCCCCTCCTTCTCCCCCCATCACTCAGCGCGATGCTAGTCAGCGCAGGCGTCTGTTACTTGACGTAACAGATCTGGCGGTTGGCGCTTTCCTCCGAGCGCGTTCGGCTGTCCAGTGACGTCGCGTGAGCGGCAACTCGAAAAGAAGCGGTGGTTGGTTTCACAGGCCTCGGAGGAAGCCTGTGTTAGCTTTCACCCTCCTAGCGTTGATAGCATCGTGTGATTGGGGGAGTCCTAACTAGCGGGTGGAATTGAAGACGACTAAATTGGGGAGAAAAATTGGGTAAAAGTGAAAAAAAAACAAAAAAAAACCACTAGTTTTAGGCTGGAATGCCTCTTTACTACTTCATTCATTCATGGTGTCATTTCAGTATCTCTAGCATTAATTTTCGATTAATATTCATCATGAGGCAAACTAAGCAGACCTACGAGGCTAGTTAGCTTAGCTAACATGACCTCTCCTGGATCTGTGAGGGAAACTATAAATGAGTAAAAGCAATAGTGTTGATAAGGAATGGAAGTGGTTCTGCTATTGGTGCTGGGAATTTGAGTTGATTGGGACTTGGGAAAAGGGGCGGAGCTTACAATCAGAACATCTTGTCTAAAAACAAGATACATAAATAGAGGAGGAAGCAATATATCTAGTGTGGTTTACATTGTAGAGGAATTAATGACGATAATTCTCATCGACATGAACACAACAAGACCGTTTGCTAGTTTGCAAGGCTAGTAAGGAATAAACTTACTACAAACAGGCTAATCGTTTACCTGATTAAGGTCAACCTGAAATCAAAATGGACCTTCTTTATCTTGTTAAATCATCTTGAGTCAGTGGGCCCAAACTTTTGACTGCTACTGTATTTTATAGTGCCCTCCACAAATGTTGGCACCTCGGGGAAATATGAGCAAAGCGGACTGTTAAAACATTCTTTATTGCTGTTCTTTTAATCTTTAATTCAAAATATTAACAATAATCTGACCGTGGAAGTACAATAATAAATAAAAACAAAATCTTATCACGGCATAAATATCGCTGTTGTCAGAAGAAAACCTTGTATCTCCAAAATGGTAACTTTACAGGAGAAGGAAAAAACACACTTTACTTTTAATGTAAGTCAATGGAACCAGAATTTTTTCCAAGTCATTTTTGGGTCATTTCTTTTGGTCCAGTTATCATGAACTTTGCACACAATGTAAACAGCAACAGGCATTTTCGAATAATGTCAAAAACTGAAAAACAGAAAAAATGGAGATACAATGTTTTCTTCCGACAGCAGCGATATTTTTCTCAAAATAGTCAAGTCAGAGTTTATTTATATAGCGCTTTTTACAAACAGGTGTTGTCACAAAGCAGCTTTACAGAAAAATCCGGGTCCACGCCCCCATGAGTGTCGCCAGTGACGAAGAGGAAGAAAGCTTGAGAGGAACCAAGACTCAAAAGCAGAACCCATCCTCCTCTGGTTGACACCGGATAGCAAACAGCATTAGTTAAATATTTAATTATTATAATAATTAATTAAATATTAGAATACAAAAACGGGGAAAAACAGGTGGAGCAGGGGTTAATTAAATAGTTTGAGTTTAGGCAGCAGCATCATCATCAGGAGGGTCAGATCATGCAGGTGAGGTTTGCACAGCTTTGTAGAGCATGAAACTCCATGGTGGTCAAAAACAGAGATGGAGCTCTGGTGACCCTAGCAGCTCTAGTGGCTTAGGCAGACATCACTCAGGGGCTCAAATGAGAGAGAGAGAGAGAGAGAGAGAGAGAGAGAGAGAGAGAGAAAGAAATTGATTAACAGGACAGGTCCATTTATGGAGAGATATTAGTGGGTTAATAGTGCAACAACTGATAGTAGCAAAATGCTTGTGCAAACAGAAAAGCTTTGAGTCTAGTTTTAAGTGTAGAGAGTGTGTCTGAGTCGTGAACAGAGGTTGGGATATGATTCTACAATTTTTTGGGCTACGTAGAAAAAATAGTTCTATAGACTGGGCAAAAACATGGGCCAAGAAAGAAAAGTCAGTATTTTTCCTCTGAGCAATGACGGCTTCAGACATTACCAAGCTAGTTTGTGTTTAATGTGAGACCAAATTACTCTATAGGGTTTAAATCGGGACTGACCAGCCCAAAACCATCAGTAAAAAACATTGTATTTTGAGCCTTGCCCATTTTTTTATGCCCAGGACTGTATATCCAATTGTTGGCACGTTTAATACTTTATACAGCCTACCTTCACAAAGATAACAGCTCTGAGTCTTCTGAGAGTGTAGAACGTATGGCAAGAGATCCGAAACCATTCCTCCATATAGAACCTTTCCACAGCCTTCAGATTCCAGGTCCACGCTCTTCAACTCATCCCACAGATGGGGTTTAGGTCAGGGGACTGGGGTGGTCATAACAGAACGTTTCATTTTGTGGTCAATGAGCCATTTTTGTGTTGATTTTGAGGTGTGTTTTGGATCATTGTCCTGTTAGGAGATCCAACCAGTTTAAGCTTCCTGGCTGAGTTCTGATTTAATAGCTGCTGGTACCTGAAAGAGTCTGTGGTACCATGTATCCAAACAAGTTGTCTAGAGCCTTTGGAAGAAAAACAGTCCCACAGTGTCACGGATCCACCACCATACTTCACAGTGGGGATGAGGTGTTTACTACCTGGCTATCTTTGTGTCCACACCAAACTCGCCTCTGGTGTTTGTTGACAAAACCCTCTAGTTTGGTCTCATCTGACCATAAAACATGGTCACACTGAAAGCTCCAGTAATGTTTGTCAACTGTAGGAGCTTGAGTTCTTGACAGCAGAGGCTTTCTTCTGGCAACCCCCCCAAACACCTTGTGGTCATGTAGGTGGCATCTGAGTATATTTTGGAGACGTTCTGACCCCTGGACCTAATGTCTGCAATTTCCCATCTGTGATCCTTGGAGATTCCTTATCCACTTAAACCATCCTCCACCTGTTCATGGGGTCAGTATAGACATACATCCTCTTCCCAGCAGATTGTTTTAAACTCATTAATTATTGTCCTGATTGTGGAAATTTTATCTGTTTAGCTATTTTCTTGGAGCCATTTCCTGATTTGTGCAGCACATCATTGCTATATTCTCTATTCTTTCTCATAGTGATGGATGACTGAGGAAAATTGGCCTGTGTGTCACCTCATATATATTCCCCAGTGAAACACAATGGTTTCATGGCTGACCATTTAGGTGTTCCTAATGGCTCAGGTGAACTTTAAAATATAAAATATTAATTCTGTTAGATTTTATTCATAATAATTTCTAGGGCTGCCAACATTTTAGGCACATAGATTTGCGAAAAATATTAATTTCATGATAAGATTTCGATTTTTGTTACGATTTTGAATGAAAGATCAAAGGATGAGTGATACAGTATGTTTTTCACAGCCTGATTTGCTCATGTTTACCAGGGGAGGGCACTGTAAACAAATTAGAATCTGCAATAATTGTCTGCATCATCATCACTGATGTGACTGTTGACACTGAACTGGAAGGCATCTTCTACAATGAGATGCCACACAAAGTTTGCAGGCTTTTGTGTCCATCTTTCATCTGCCTACCTCCTTTAAAATAATGCTGATCATCTATTTATTAAACAGAGATGTTTTTGATTAAGGCTCGATTGAGAACCTGCAGCGGTTCATGGGAAGAACTGTCGTTTTCATGCTTCGCTCACAAGTGCATTCTTCCATAGCCAACATTTGAGGGCAGATATTATTGAAAAATGAAGTGAAACTCAATTTTCCTCATTTTTCTGTGATGTATTTTTCAGAAAATCAACAAAATGTCATTTGAGCAGGGGCGCCCAAACTTTTGCATACAACTGTACTATTCACTTCCCAGTCCCTAAGAACCATATGTGGAAACTAAGCTATAATCACAACCTGTTTTTTACTATATAGCTACCTATTCGATAGCACTTTAGCCCCGCCCATCCACACTGAAGTTATAAGCAGTGTTTCAGCCTGGGCTACTTTAATAATGAGGTGCAGCCAATCCGAGCCGAGATTTTCATTACAATTTCTCCAAAAACAAAAAAGTTGACTCTCGTAACAGTAGCTACAAAAGAAGATATTTGTGGGCGGAGCCTGAATCGCCTTTGATCTTTTAACATGATTGAATACAACTGCAAGTGTACTGTAAGCAGGTTTCACCTTTAGTCCAGTATCCTGAATGGGTCTGCATAATTCAGTGATGTAGAGTCATTCAGAGTGGTTTGGTGTGAAATGGTTGATTGTATAGATCTATAAATATATAATTTTGAAGAACAAATGGAATTAATAAATAAATAAGCAACAAGCACTGAATGTAATCACAGTGTACAGTGTGAGTTATTAAGGCAGCCAAACACAGCTATATATACACACACCAACCCGCCACTTCATTAAAACCACCTCCTTGTTTCTACACTCATTGTCCATTTAATCAGCTCCACTTCCTATATAGGAGCACTTTGTAGTTCTACAATTACAAACCGTCAGGACCCCCATGGACCCTCACAGAGCAGGTGCTATTTGGGTGGTGGATCATTCTCAGCACTGCAGTAACACTGATGTGGTGGTGGTGTGTTAGTGTGTGTTGCGCTGATATGAGTGGATCAGACACAGCAGTGCTGCTGGAGTTTTTAAACACTGTGTCCACTCACTGTCCACTATTAGACACTCCTACCTTGTCAGTCCACCTTGTAGATGTAAAGTCAGAGACGATAGCTCATCTGCTGCTGCACAGTTTGTGTTAGTCCTTCATCAGTGGTCACAGGACGCTGTTGGCTGGATAGTTTTGGTTGGTGGACTATTCTCAGTCCAGCAGTGACACTGAGGTGTTTAAAGACTCCAGCAGCACTGTTGTGTCTGATCCACTCAGACCAGCGCAACACACACTAACACACCACCACCACGTCAGCTTTACTGCAGCACTGAGAATGAACAGGCTGCAGTGTTTGGTCTATGCTGTTCTGTTTGTCAGAGTTACGCAGCGGTGAATGCTGGTCTCCTGATTTCGAGGCGACGTTGAATAGAGCGTCTATCGGCACAAACATTCCTTCAGTGTGTTCTGGAGACGCTCCGAAGAGGCCTTTCCATCAAAGAACCTGCCTGTTAAAGAGCTCCTATCATGGAAACTGAATATTCCCCCATTTTATTGAAATAAAAGTTTGATTTAGGATGTAAACATGGTCAAAGTTTCAAAACGTACTTTAAGCCCATTTATGGAAACTAAACTCTTTGTTGAATTTGTGATGTCACAAATACTAAAGCAACTACATATCCAGCTTTTCAATCTAGAACCACTTAACTTTACTCATTCCTGCTCATGTTATAATGAGTACTTCAGCCCGGACTGCTTTTTGAATAAGGTGCAATACAAGGCAGCCTATCAGAACATCAGAACAGAGCTCATTTACATATATCAGCCTTAGACAAGGCCTGTTTAACTGTAAGGGATAGAGGTTGTAAACTGGTCACGTAAAAGTTAATTATGACTGTTTTTAGTGCAAGGAAAATGTCACAAAAAGTAAAGCATTTGAAGTGTGGACTTTAACTTCATATCCACCTAGGCAGCCTACAGCAGTTAAGCCCCGCCCCCTCACACTGAAGTTATAAGGAGTGTTTCAGCCCAGATTGCTTTTTGAGTGAGGTGCAATGCAGGGCAGCCAATCAGAGCAAAGCTCATTTAAATATGTCAGCCTTAGAGGCATATTAACAAAACAGTGTTTAATTCAAAGGGATCAAGAGAGGTTAGAAAATGTTTATGTAAAAATGAATCATGAACGAATGAATTATTATTAACAGCAGTTAAGCTCCGCCCACTCGCGGTGAAGCTATAAGGAGCGTTTCAGCCGAGACTGCTTTTTGAATGAGGTGCAATACAGGTGCAAAACAGAACAGAGCTCATTTACATATATCAGTCCTATATAAGGCCTAAATCTGACTCTTTTTGAGACATAAAATCACAAAATCTTATAAGTAGATCTCAAGTAAAGAAATAAATAAAAGCAAGAAAAATGTAGGGTGTTTAAAGGGCCTTTTAAAGGGCCCATATCATGAAAACCGAATCTTTTCCCCTCAAATTCTTGAAACAAATGAGTTTGATGTAGGTTGTAAACATTGTTAAAGTTTGAAAACATACCTTTCACTCTCCAGTCCATCCATATCGACCAGAGAATCAGGGCAAAAACAGCCCGTTTCAGCCTGGACTGCTTTTTGATTGAGGTGGAATACAAGGCACCCAATCAGAGTGGAGCTAATTTACATACATCATGGATAAAGAGATATATATATATAGGGTATGGGCCCTTTAAAAGGACCAGGTATGAGAGTAATGAGATTAGGGCGAGATCTTCAGGCTGACGTCACAGTGGAACTTGATTTTCCACAGAAGCGGCGTGAGAACATGTCAACATTCATTGCGTTCCACTGGGAAGTGATCCTGCCTACGCCCTACTCCCTACAGAGAACCTGGTCTACACAGCGAGAACCTGGAAGGCTCACTGTGCTCCACTGTAGTCCTCCTCCTCTCATTACAATGCTTAGGTAGTGTGTAGAATTCTGAACAGCACTGTCAGCAAAACATTACAGCTAAATAAATTAGCCAGTTAAAGAGAAAGGCTGGCCTAAAACTACAGTCACATATGTTATTATAGGTGTAGTGCAGTATTGAATCCTCAGCCTCATCGTTTTGACACAGTGCACAACTTCATTTCATTTTCATGTTTTCGTTCATCACTGATTTCTTACTACATGGCTTATGTAAATACAGCTAACCAGCTAACCATGCTAACCAGTCAGCACTATGAGAATCCATGTGGTGTCAACAAATCCAGTCTGCTAGTCCAGCCACTGAGCTGTGTTAAAACAACCAGGCTGGCATTAGCATTAGCTCTCCTTGGTCACTATGAAAAATAAATATATTGTGGCGTCAGAGACTGGGTTCCCATGATGCTTTGCTCATGCTTAACCAGGCTGTATTTGGTTCTAAAAACAGTAAGTGAAGGTTTTTGTTGCATAAAAATGCAAGTAATCCATGTTAATGTTTATGAGTTACGCAAACTTTTGAGCAAGTTAGGTAGGTGCAGTAACGCCAACCAATCAGTGCTCAATAGCAGTAATGCAAACCAATCAGTGCTCAATAGCAGCAATGCTAACCAATCAGTGCTCAGTAGAAGTAATGCCAACCAATCAACACTCAATAGCAGTAATGCAAACCAATCAGTGCTCAGTAGCAGCAATGCTAACCAATCAGCACTTTGTAGCAGTAATATTACCAATCAGCACTCAGTAGCAGTAATGCTAACCAATCAGTGCTCAGTAGCAGTAATGTTACCAATCAGCACTCAGAAGCAGTAATGCTAACCAATCAGCACTCAGTAGCAGTAATGCTAACCAATCAGCGCTCAGTAGCAGTAATGTTACCAATCAGCACTCAGTAGCAGTAATGTTACCAATCAGCGCTCAGTAGCAGCAATGCTAACCAATCAGCACTCAGTAGCAGAATTGTTACCAATCAGCACGCAGTAGCAGCAATGCTAACCAATCAGCACTCAGTAGCAGTAATGTTACCAATCAGCACTCAGCAGCAGTAATGCTAACCAATCAGCGCTCAGTAGCAATAATGCTAACGTTATGTCAGTGCCCTGCTGCCCGTTTGCTGTAGAAATACACAGGTTTATGTATATGTGTTTATATATATATATATATATATATATATATATATATATATATATTAGTGAAATACATCCTACCACTTTCTGAAATCAAGGAAAGGACCTGGACAAGTGATTAGAAACTATTTTAATTGTTCGTTTTTAGCCGTTTAGCTCTATTCACCCCCATTCTTTGAGGACTTGCTCGTGGGCGCCCTCTGGCATTTTGCGGTCATGCTTTTGACATAACGGGAGAAATAGGAAGCGACCAGACTCCCTTAAACACCACCACAAAGCGTCTTGGCTTTAAAGACTCTTCGGTTTGGAACACGCCCAAAAAATGGCTACCGCGAGCGCCCTCTCTCCGAAGTGGCCTAAGTAGGCTGCATGTGTGCCGATTGGAGCATCCTCCTCTTCCGGCTGGAGAAAGTAGGCTGCGTCGCTGCTGCTGCGCGTGTTTTTGTTGTTTTTTTTCCCCTCTCTCCAGGAAGTCTGGAAGTTGAGCAGAAGGCCAGAGAGGACAGCGCGGAGACGGAGGGCCAGAAAGGCGCCAGAAATGGCTCGGTTCGGGAACATGCTGAGCGGGTTCTCCATCGCTCAGCTGTCGGAGCTGCTCGAAGACGACGAGAAGCTCAACAAGATCGTGGAGGACGTTGATGAGGTGAGCGAGCGAGAGAGAGAGAGACATATAGAGACACGGAGAGATAGATAGAGAGAGAGAGAGAGAGAGAAGGCTAAAGTTGTCTTATTCGCCAGCTTCTTGTTCGAATTTTCCCGTTCCACCTTAAATGGTGCAGCAGTTACGTTGTGGCGCCCGATGCGTTATAATACCTGCAGCACCATTTAAGGTGGAACGGAAAATTCCAATAACAAGCTCAGTAGAGTTTGTTGAGAGAGGGAGGTTTGTTTGGAAAGCGGCGGTTGAAATACGTTACTTCGAGAAAACTCGCTTTGAAAAACTCGCGAAAAAGTCGTAATTTTATAATGTTTCTCGATTTAATTTAATTATTCAACGTCTTTAAGGCTTTTAATGTGTTCGAAAACTGTCGAAGGGACTATTTAAGTGATGAATTTCTTCAGTTAATTCACGGTTTTAACCGTTTAAACCCTGTCAGGATGGTTTCACGGTTTAACGGTCGTGGAGAAGAAAATCCTCTCACTGTTGTGACTGAAATACTCCACGTTTGAGCTTTAATTCGAGGTTTAAATGTTGTGGACTGGGTTTGCAGACAGCTCAGAGCTGCTAAATCATGTTTGACACAGTGGTTTGTCAGCCGAGCAGTTCGGTCATGGCTTTGTTTTGGGGTTTTGCATAGAAAGAAGGGGAACTTCACCAGCTTTTCAAAATCTCTGTATAATTAACCGGTCAACATGTCAGTAAAGCCATTCAGAGTGGTTTGGTGTGAAATGCTCTGTTCTAGAGGAACTTGCCGAGTCAGAATTGTTCGCAGTGGTGGTGATAGGAACCAGACGTCCGCCTTTAACAGCTCCCTCACAGACAGATGTCTAAATTTAAGATACTGCGCCTTCGTCACTTTGTCTACATTGTCTTCATGAATGTCTTCGGTTTATTGGAAGTGTCATTAGTGTGACTGGGTGATTATTGATCAGGTCAGCTAGCTCAGATCTTAGTTGAAGAAACAGCCTTGGTCACCTTGGACTCCGAACAAAATGGTGAAGAAAGCAGTGATTCTGTCTTTCATCTCACATTATGGACATAATGGACACATAACGGACCAGAGACACCATTCAGATGGAGAAAATGAGCCAAACTGACGTATCTAGACAGCTTGTTTTCAACTAGCTACTTTGCTAACCTTAGCTTTAGGCTTGTCCTCCTCATCTGACCAGTCATTTCTGTTTGTCAGGCCTGTATGGAAAAGAAATATACACTCTTTAAAAAGATGGTTCATCAAGGGTTCTTTAGTGAATGGAATGGTTCTGAGTTCTTGCATGCTTAAATGGTTCTTCAGCTTGATGTTTTGTACATTGACACACACACACACACACACACACACACACACACACACACACACACACACACACACATATATATATATATATATATATATATATATATATATATATATATATATATATATATATGTATATATGTATATATGTATAAAGTTCTATGTAGAATTCTTTTTGGATGCTTAAATGGTCCTTGACAAATTGGTATGTCAACGAAGTGGTTTGGTTCTGGGTTTGGTTTTGGTGTTTGTATGGAAAGTAAGCTGATCAACTTGAAGAACCATCTTCAAAAAGATGGTTTTTCAAGGGTTTTTAGTGAATGGAATGGTTCTGAGTTCTATACAGAACATACTTATGTTTGCATACTTATATGGTTCTTTGCTTGGTGAAATGGTTCTTCAGCACGGTGTTTGCTACATTGACACGTTGGTTTGTCAACCAAGTGGTTTGGTTTTGGGTTTTGGTTTTAAACGGAAAGTAAGCTCATCAACCTAAACACCATCTATAAGAAGATGGTTCTTCAAGGTTTCTTTAGTGAATGGAATGATTTTTAGTTCTATATAGAACCTTTTGCGTGGTGAAATGGTTCTTCAGATAGATGTTTGCTACACTGGCACTTTGGTTTGTCAACTAAGCGGTTCGGTTCTGGGTTGGGTTTTGGTTTTAAATGGGAAGTACGCTGAATCAACCTGAAGAATCATCTTTAAAAAGATGGTTCATGAATGGTTCTTTAGTGAAGGGAATGGCTCTGAGTTCTATATGGAACCTTTTGCACTCTTAAATGGCATTGACATATTGGTCTGCCAACCTAGTGGTTTGGTTCTGGTGTGGGTTTTGGTTTTAAATGGAAAGTAAAAAGATGGTTCATCAAGGGTTCTTGAGTGAATGGAATGGTTCTGAGTTCTATATAGAACCTTTTGTGTGCTTAAATGGTTCTTTGTTCAGTGAAATGGTTCTTCAGCACGGTGTTTGCAACATTGACACATTGGTTTGTCAGCCAAGTGGTTTGGTTTTGGGTTTTGGTTTTAAGTGGAAAGTAAGCTCATCAACCTGAGAAACCATCTATAACAAGATGGTTCTTCAAGGTTTCTTCAGTGAATGGAGTGGTTTTTAGTTCTGTATAGAACATTTTGCATGGTGAGATGGTTCTTCAGATAGATGTTTGCTACACTGGCACATTGGTTTGTCAGCCAAGTGGGTTGGTTTTGGGTTGGGTTTTGGTTTTAAATGGAAAGTAAACTCATCAACACTTAAACTCTGTAGTGTCTAAAATGTGTGAACCACATATTTTAGTGGGTTAAAAAGTCTGAATTTGAGAGATTACACCTTCATCGCTCGACTACAGTGTCTGTTCACATTTTCATGATGACTATTTGTTATCATTCCATTGGGAATGTAAGGGAATGGGATTGATCACAGTGTAGCAATAGCCATGTCTGCTTGATCAGCCCCTCGCTTAAGCAACAGCCTGCATCTTCTTGAAGATGTTTATTGATACAACCTCACACTGTGGTAATGTGGTTTTGGTTTCAGTTATCAGGAAATGGGAGTGAAGTCGTCTTACCTGAGAGCCTCAGGTTGGTATGAGTCATCCTATAGGTTCGGTGATGCTGAGTCATTTTTATGCAACGGCCACGAGGCACCTAACCTGTCGTATGTTTGCAGCTTTTCGACTGACTTGGCCTCCAGATTCGTGGCAGAGCGCCAGCTGTTTCTTCTCAAAGCTTCTCGTCGGCAGCTGTTCTTTCTTTGTTTACACCCGTCGTTTCTATACACACACGTTTTATCTTTCGTCTGTAGCACTCAGCTTTGTGTATTTTAGGTAAGACCTGCAGTCTTTTCACATGTCTGCATCACATAAACACGAAAGATCAGTATTGGAGCCAGTCAAGACGTATTCCAGTGCATCGGTATTGGCCATATTGATGATGCGTTTGGGGTCCTCATTGGAAGGTTGTAGTTAACCATCAAACAGGGCTGGGCAATATGACAATATATATCGTTATCGTGATAAATTGTCACAATTCAATACAATGCTTTTCTGAACATATAGTGGATATCGTCAGTAGCTGTAGGACATTGACCAACAGCATGTTTTGTTACAAAGAGAGCAAAATTAGTCCCATTTAATCAGATTTAGTGCGAGACGTTATGCCAAATGTTGAATAAAAATCTTTATGCTGACAGTTTTTGAACTTCGCGTTCTTTTTTTTCCTCAGTTCCAACTGATCAGATGTCTGAAAAAAATCTGTATTTTGACGTATCGTTTATCATGAAAATTTCTAAATATCATGAAGTATCACAATATTGTATTTTTACCATATCGCCCACCTTCAGACCGTCAGATACGACTTCCCTCTGTTCAGGTGCTTGAAAACAAAAGCCTAGAGAATATGTTTCCGCATAGATCTGCAAAAACATATAGATCACATAATTTTTTCACATTCACCGCCAGTATAACGTTTTCCTTTGGTGGAAATGCAGGGAGGCACCGATGATGGAATTGTGGGCAGATTCTGATATCTCATGTTTTTAATATGTATATCTACTGGTGTAAGATTTTAAAATGTAGGTGTTGGGATTAAATCTGTTTGATTTAGGATTATAAATAGAAAATAAAAAAGCATATAAAATGTATTTTTGTAGGGTTACAAATTACAGTAAATTGAATAAAATGCCAAAAAGACATGTTGGTCACCCAAGGTCACCCAAACATTCTGTTGGTCATCAAATATTGGTTTGAAACCTTGGTCAAATCTAAACGTCCGCTGATATTTTTTTAAGCAGTTATTTGACAGTTCCGATATCATCGTGCACCATCTAGAATCCCATGTTTTCCAAATGTAGTTCCAACCTTGTTGCCTATTTTGATTGCAATTTGCATGGTGGAATATTGATATTTTCCTGTTTCTGACACTATATTAAGGCTGCAGACGGCTGATCCAATTCCAAAATCCAAATCCTTTTTTTCAGCCCTTTTTACTCCATTGCGCTCTATTTAGGCCCTGATGTAAATGTATTACCCCCAACTTGCAGCTCTGTGGTTCGTTTTAGGAAGTTAAATTTCTTCCTTGTGGAACTGTTTGGAGATCTGCAGTGCTAGAGTTACAACTGCAGTCAAGTTAACTGCCTTTCGTTTAAAATGTAAAACTAGCCCCATGGTAGATTTTAGCGCACTGCTATTACACACTTAGCACATTCAAAGAAAAACATTGTATCTTTGTGTTATTTAAAGTTGTTTTAATCTTTAAATGGAGAAATTTGACCTAGGCAAATAGCTCAGAGCTCATGAATTGGCAGTCTGGTAAGTCATGGCCAAAACAGAAAGAAAATAACTGCATTTGAATCGCAGGTGCAATATCGGTCAGAAAAATTTAATTAGATATTTCCACCAAATCTTTCAGCCTTAGGTTGGTGTTTCACAACATGGAGTGATTTTAAAGTAACTGGCAGCTTTAGTTAAATTGGATTGGTTTACTACCTTTAATCTGCCTCAGACTGTACTAAGCTGTACTGTCTGCAGAAATAGAAATATCAGATAAATCTCTATGTAAGCAGATATTCAGTAATAAAAGACTGGCTGGGAACGGGGCTGATATCACTCTGAGACGGGAGCACTGACACTACTGCACTTGCCAAATATAGAAGTGGCTGAGCTCTCCGGGGTCGTGTTACATGCCCAGTGAG